GCGAGATCTCAGACTGGCTATGTTTTCACGATTGGTGGAACTGCATTTTCTTGGCGACAGTGATATTCGAAGACAATGCAGCATGTGTCGCTCAGACCAAAGAAGGATACATCAAGAGTGACAGAACTAAACATATCCCACCAAAGTTCTTCTCATACACTCAAGAACTTGAAAGGAACAAACAAATCAAGGTTCAATATATCCGATCAAGTGATAACGCAGCAGATTTGTTTACAAAGGCGCTCCCAACTACTACGTTCCGAAAGCATGTCCATAACATTGGAATGAGACATCTTCGAGATTTGCACGGATGATAACTCGAGGGGGAGCATGTGTGGCTGTACTCTTTTTTCCTTATTTCGGTTTTTTCCCACAGGGTTTTTCCGGATAAGGTTTTTAATGAGGCAACATTAACGCACATTGCATAGTGGTAATTCCAAGGGGGAGTGTTAGAAACAAGTGGAACAAACCACAATGCCTCAATAGTGATATTTCACTATTTGTAATAAATGAGAATAGTTAAATGAACAATAATGGGTATGGGATGAGCATTATTGGTGTATATTGTGTCGGCAAATTTGCCTATAAAAGGCATTACCAATGTAGTGAATGTACACATAATTTGAGAAGGAAAAGAAGAAAGAAAATACTAAGTATAATTCCTATCCGCTTTCTACTTTGTGTTCTTTATCTTTCCCGTTTTCATAACAGAATATTATTTTAAAGGATAATTTATAATTTTGGTTGATGCTTTTCATTTTTGTTTGAGAAATAAATTTGAAATCTTAACTATAATGGTAGATAAATTTATTTTTTAATTATATATGTAATATAGATGTCAAATCGATGATCGTTAAAAGATTTTATTTTTTTTTTTGCTATATCATACAAAAAAAAATACACATAAAATGTTATAAAATTTTAGAAAATATGAAGACAAATTTTCAGTAATTGATATAGGAGTTAGAAAACTAAATGAAATATATGGCAATGTATCAAAAGAAATATAAAATATTTTATGGTAAATTTACAACTTTAATTAGTACTATCCAACTGTGTATGTAGCAGTACGAGAGCATGATTTTTTGCCAAATAGACATATAAAACATTTGAGTTTATAATTTTGGACTCCAGACATTCTCAAATTATATATAAGGGGAAACAAATATAAATATTAATAAATTGCATATCGTTTATCCTTGAGTTATTTGTTTAATCCTATTTATTTTTTTTTTCCAAATTTATCATGGCAATCTTTGGAGTATTTTTTTATATATTTTTATATAAAAAATAAATCAAATTATGCTAATAAATATATTATGAACTAATAAACTAATGATATCTTTATGTTTAATAAACATAAAATCCAATACTATAGATGTATGAATTACAATTTATAATTAGTTTTATTAAATATTTTGTAAAATTTTATTTTGACAAGAAGTTCCCAAAATGACATCTTGATGTTCTATGCAAGCAACGAGATAAAAATGGAAGATTTACATTCTCTATCCCTCTTTTTATTTTGGTCTAGGTTGCATTCTATTTGATATAAAGTGTTTATGGAATAAGTGTTGTTTCTATAATGCTTAATTTTGTTTGGTATGAGCTCTTGCATTCGAAGGATAGTCTAGATTGCAGTCTATAATTTGATATAAAGTGTTTATGTAATAAGTGTTGTTTCTATAATGCTTAATCTTGTTTGGTAGGAGCTCTTGCATATGAAGGATGAGAAAGTTGATCGAGGCGCAATGGACAAGAAGATCTTAGCTTTAGTACATTAAGATCTCGGCCTTAGTTGAAAATTTAAAGAAGAAAATGTTTTTCAAAAGGAATGAAGCTTGAAGTCTCTTTATCTTGAAGGAGTTTGTATATATACCTACACAAATATTCTATTGAAGGCTACTGCATTTATCGGAGTTCATCATATTTTGAAGACTACTTTGAGTGCTTGTGAGATTTATTTTCAAGTTCTTTTGTGAGCAATGTTTCAGTGTTCCTCTACCACCAAAACTGCATTTTGTTTTCTTATTCTACAAACACTTTTGTGCTTAGGGATTAAGTATTAAGATAGCTGGGAGGGATCCCTAGCTAGTTTGAAGCCCACAAGGTTGTGGTTAGAGGATCACTTAATAGGTTCGGGTATAGTATTGGCTAGACTAAAAGGGAGTTCGAGTCTTGTAAGTCCAAGTTGTACTTTGTGCGTGCTGATGTTGTCACAATATATGGTGAAAAATTGCTTACAATGCCAAAAACATGGTCCACTTATACATTAGCCCGCTAAAGTGCTAACCACAATGAGTGATCATGTTCCATTTACAAAGTGGGTCATCGATTGGTGGGACCTATGCCACAATGATCTGGCATGAGAAATAGAACACAATTTAATGGAAAACAGATCAAACCTTGGTATGAAGATATGGAAATCGACCAGCACTTTGCATCATTTGCTCATCTGTAGGCAAACGGGCAGGTCAAGGTGACCATCAAGATTATTCTGATTAACTAAAAAACAAGATTGGAGAAGGCCTCGGGGACGTGGGTCGACGAACTAACATCTGTACTTTGAGCTTATCGAATGACCCTGAGGTCAACCACATGAGAGACCTTATTTAGTTTGGCATACGACATGGAGCCGTTGTTATCAATCTATATCGAGCTAGAGTCTCAGAGGTCGATTGTGCATGACAGAGAGAAGAATGAGGAGTTGGCTCGAGCAACCCTAGACACGATTGAGGAGTTCAAGAAGCAAGCGACGACTAGATTTGCGGCTTACAAACAACGGATGTGGATCACACACGATAGGAAGGTCAAGATTTGTTTCTTAAGTGAGAGAAAATTTACCATTTATATTTGTTCTCTTGTTACGAAAAGTTATTGAGTCATTTAATCGAACAATGAATTGAGTGGTGTTTTACATTTGAAACTTTATCCCTAATTCCTTAGCATCTCTATCTTTCTAAAACTTGTTACTTTATTATTTGCATTTCTTGGAACCATTGGTTGATGATTGAAACAAAACTCACTTGAATTAGAGTGTCTAGGATTTAATTTAATTTTTGTGTTTGAATATACGCGCGAAGTAATCTGGTTGGCCTCTTGCAATACAATCCGAACTTGATTCTCTTGAATTAACTTCGATAAAAATAACTACAACGAACAACAATTTAATAATGTAATTATTAGTGTTCGGAAGCATTTATTACTCTAAAAAATACTATAAGTACATAATAAATGTACATAACACTTATATGAAGTAAGGTCCACTTGTTATTGTAAAATATGTAGAACTGTATGTATTGATTAGTTACTTATGAATGGTAATATCACATGTTGCTTGGATATTTCTTTTCGGACACTAGCCATCACTACTTCCCTTTGAATTTCTTATTTAAGTCTTCTCATGGTCCATTCCTCATAATGGTCAAAGCCCAAATTACTTTCTTCAAAGTTTATTCTCCTCTCTAGTAATCTTCCACAACTTTCCCTCATTTCTTCTTGTTTTATTTTTATTTTTTTATTTTTTAATTTTATGCCCCTTTTGTCTCAGACCCCAACATCCTCCTTTTCAAATCCATTTTTCTTTCACCTCACCTTCACATCACACACTTACTTCATTTCTTTCCTTTGTCCTTTATTTCCTAGACTCTCATTTTTCTTTATTTTTGTATTTATATACAAACTCCTTCAGGTGATCTGCCCTACTCAATCTCTCGATCTCATATTTCAAGTGTCTGCAGTTATCAGTTGTGTGGCCATAGTCCAAATAGAATCGACAATACAAATCAGATTTGGTTGCATTGGACCTTCTTTCCTCGACCTTGACCACGTCACCATATCTCCATCTAACCTTTTTTTTTCATTATTTTCAAACTCAGTTGGGTTCGACCTTAATGGGGTGTATTTTAGTACCTATGCCCATCTCGCTCAGGCCTACCTATCCATCTATTTTCTCTTATTCAGTCTGACCTCTCCTTTCTGGGCGAGTTTCCCTCTTCTTTTTCACTTTTGGCCGAGTTGCCTTCTCAATTTTAGCAAACTCAGCATTGCCCTACTCCATGTTAATACACTTGGCACACCTATTCATGACATCATCAAGGTTGGCTTATTAGCCAACGAGCTCGGATAAAGACCTGCTCGCAACCCCCTCATCAACCCTTCAGTCTTAACCTCCTCAAAAGTTGAAGGCACCTCCACACAAGCTCAGGTATATCGACCTACATAACTCTGTAGTGTCTCGTTTTCATGTTGTTGAATCTTCATTAGGGTAAGATAGGTCTTCTCCTGCGACCTGGCGCTGACAAACTAATTGAGAAAAATAGGGCAAAATCCTTAAAGTCTTTAACCGGGGGCTTCCTCATGAAACCGGTCTGAGCTCCTCCCCTCAAGTTTGCTAGAAAAGCTCGACACCTCACAACATTAGTATAGCTGTGTAAAACGACCACATTTTCAAATGACCTCACATGGCGAGACGGGATAGTGGATCCATCGTATGTGATATTGAGCTCTTTAAATCCGCTCGACAAATCTGCATCCAGTATCTCCTGGACAAATGGGTGTCCTCGAGCTCTCACATCCTGCTTCCCCTCCATTTTGGCCTCTAACTCATTGTCATCCTCTCCACAGCCAGGTCCCGCAGAGCTCCAAAGTCGAGCTGTTGGAAATCCCGAAACCCTTCCTTCTTGTCTTCGAAATAGGGGTTACCGCGTTCGACAAATACGACTAATTTAATATTAGCTGATTTATTTATTATGATTTGTCATGTCAACCGAATTCCCATACACAGAGAGATTGTAGGGTCTTTTTTTTTTTAAAGAGGAGCAATAGTTGTTCCGCACCTACCTGCTAAAGTGACTCGAACTCGGAACATATTGGTGCCAAATGAAGGTGCTACCAACTGAGCTAGCCCTTCTCGTCAAACAGAGGGATTGTAGGGGTTAGTGGAGCAAATCTGCAAATAGTAGTGGGGGCAAATTATCGTTTTCTGCATTTCAAGGGTGCAAATTTTGAAATGGTCTTTTAAGAAGGTGCATCGGTCAAAATATCTATCACCAGAAGGCAGTCATTATCCTCACTGCGTCTTCTTCTTCTACTGCCACTCTTCCACAGACGGGGTGCCCAAATTCGTTTCGATTCTCGCAATTTCATTGGCCAAAAAATGCCTCGAAATCGAAATAAACTGGTGGCTGGCTTTCAATGGCTCATGAAGCGCCATGGAAAACAGGCTAAACAGCTGATTCTCGATATTGTCGATTTCCCGGTGAAGGTGGTGGTTGCTCCGTTCACGCTCGCCATCGACATCGCCGGCTCCGCCCCTCGCGGTTTTGGCATCCCGGAATTCATCTCCAAAATATCTCTCTCTGCCGTTTTTGTATGCTATCCGTGTCATCCTCTCTCTTTCTCTCTGTGTTTATGTGTGTGTGGTAATTCTAGCTTCCTCACAGTTTTCTTATCTGAATTTTTGAAAATTGGGGAATTTTTGTTGAAATCAATGGAAGTTTGGAAGTGTGAGTTAGTTTTACATACATAATAGCTTGGTTGGCTGTTCAATGCTAGGGTATTACATGGGGTAAGTGTAGTTAGAGTAGCTGGTTGAAAAGGAGAGATGGCAGGATAAGACTTTGCTGCTGAACCCAGCAAAAGCATTTTCCCTTTAGAACTTAGCCTGTTTCAATTTCTGTGGGTTTCACTGCAAGTGTAGGACCTTTGCTGAGTGCCTTACCATGATTTCTTTGGCACTGAACACATTTAGGCAATGTGTCTTAGGTAGCCCTCAAAGTCCAACTCACAGCATGCAGACGGAAAGTGCTTAGGTTATTTTTTTATGTTGTATTCGGGCAGAATGGTCCTTTGGGTTGAATTAGCGTTGTTGTGTTATTTAGGGCTTACTGTTATAAAAGATAAAGCTTGTTACATGCTACACTTTTAATTGAAAAAATCTGCATTTTCATTCTCCCAATAAAAAAGAAGAGACTGAAAAATCTCTGTTGATGCTTTCATTGGATACTTCCCATTATATTCAATAACTCATGAGTTGATTTCAGGCCATTGCTACGTTTGGTACTTATGATATTGCGTTCGAACTGGGGAAGAAGGTTTTGTGCCAGAGGTGATTTTACTTCCTTGTATAACTTCTAAAACTTTTAGTTGTGGGTCTTCATATCATGCACTGATGATTATACAATATGGCAATATCTTAATGTTATTGAATAAGAGGGCAGTTGATTGACAATAGTTGTATAAATATATAAATATAGATTTATGTAGTTATTTTGTCACTTCTATCCACTAGTGTTGTACTATCTTATATGGAATCACTATTTGTGATGAGATGCAGTGATAATTAGTGTCCAAGTGGTGGTGAGCCAATAGATTGCATATAAGACCTGCCCTAGCTTTTAATGCATCTAGATGCTTGTCTGTTTCTTTTAATGTTAATATCAGCCAAATTTGTGGAATCTGTTCTTTACGTGGCTTTAGTTCTCCCTGGCCTTTTATTTATATTATATTTTTATTTGTAATTCAAATCTTACAAAGTGAAAATTAGGGGAGGGGGAAGGATTTGATCATTTGAATATCCAATCGTCTCTGTAATAGGAGACCCTGCACCACCACCTAAGGTGTGTTGAGTTCGGCCTGGTTTTAAATCAAACAGGTCCAATGTAGTATCTCCAGTTTTGGAAAAAAAAACAGGCTTTCTTCCTGAATGGCTCATATTTCGATGTCTGTGATAATAAACCCTTTGACAAATTTGTTCATCCTTTTGTACTACATGTGAGTTGACCAGAGTTCTATTGTTCATGTTTTTGAAATAAAATGAAGTGATGTCTAATGATTATTACTCAATATTGTTAACTATCTCTATTCAGCATAGAGATGAAACTAATTGCTCAATATTCGAGGTGCAGGAATTGTCGTACTTGCAGTGGATGGCAGGCCATGCAATGCACAATGTGCAGAGGCTCAGGACAGGTGCAGTACCAGGTGAAAAATTATGCTTTGAGAAGGTAGGGATACTGACAACTATAACGCATTGTTAGATTCTTTTTGTAGTTAATAGAACCTATTTAAATGTAACTTTTTTTTATTCATTTACTATTTGAACTCGTGCTCACTTTTTCTCCCGTACCCTGGGCCTCTCGTACAGTGGTATATGATGACATTTCCCATTCGAGCTGATACAAATACATCTCAGTAAATATGTAAATCAATTGTAGGGAATCAAATAACAATTGTAAAATTTCAGCGATAGTGGTTCTCTCAATGTTTCATCATGTACTGTTGCTATTTAATTATGCATTAATTATTTTTACATCTATGACTAACGTATATGTTTATAACTGGCATTCTGTCTACAATTGTTTAGTGGAGAGAAGGCAACAGCTTCAAACATTGCTGATGCAATTGCTGAAAACCGAGCTGAGCTAGTCCACCTTCCTTCAAGTGTTGACCTTCATGTACCTTTGCCATCTAAACAATGCCCAGACTGTGATGGATCAGTAAGAACTAAAATCCAACGCCGACACACGCACACACGCACACACACACACGCACACGCACACGCACACGCACACGCACACACGCACACGCACACACGCACACACGCACACATACACACTATACATAATAATAAAAATATGTATGTAGGGATGAATATTATCCTAGAATTATATCACTGTAGTGTTGGAGTTGACAACTCTTTGTAGTCTGAATAACGAGCTTTACTGTATTGTCGGAGAAGTGATGCAATGGGATAATGGTGTTTATATTTGATTTTTATTTAAGTTCTTTTTCCCCCTAATTAGGTTCTTGTGCTTGTTTTGATTCTTTGTATTTGACACTAAAGTAAGATTTTGATTTCCTTTCGTGGCCGAGAACAATGACTCAAAATGATGCAACAGTTCTTGTAGCTATTGGATTCCAAATGTTTAAAATGGCAATCATCTGTCAGGTTTGATCCCTTCTGAGTAATTTACCTGGCTTTGCAGGGGGTGATGAGATGTCCTGAATGCAAAGGAAAGTTACCTTTTAGGATATCTGCAGATGATGTAAGCATTTGTGCTTTTATATTCTCATTTGAGTATCTGTTTTCTGAAGTTTGTGATTTTTCTTAGATCTTATTTCTTGGAGAATCTTGGACTCCTATGAATGAAAAGAATTGTATTGAATTTCATTTGGTAAAATAGCTACGATATCACATAAACATGCTTATGTTTACAGGAATAGTTATATGCTCATATAGCTAATGTATTATGTTTAATGCATTATGCATATGCTTATGTATCTGTTGTGTCATTTGATCAGATAATGGAGCCTCCTTGGAAAGCTCTTAACATCATGCGTCAAATGGACTATCCTTATGAGGTTAGTTCTAGCTAGTATTCTGTTACCTTTTTATTGGATATTATGAGCATGAATTTGCTTAGTTCTTGCAGCTTCTGATCAGTAGAATCATCAAATGTTGAGTTTTTTTACATGTAGAAGAAGGTGGAAATAATCCCTTTATGACATATGTATTTGAAAAGAAACATGATAGAAATTGCTGAAAATTTTGTCATCCAAGTAAAAATTTCAAGTGAACTGTGTTTCTTTGTTCCCAAAACTTACATTCTACACCTGATCATTTTCTTTGTGTCGAAGTGCCTCTAATGCTACTGGATCTGATCGCAGTTATATTTATTTGTGTCTCTGCACCATATTATGTTTATTAGTGAAAGGCGTGTCCTTTCAAATGTAAGTGGGTAGGAAAATGAGGATATGATTGTTAAGTATGTAATATGTTCGTTACATTAGATAAGGTTGCTGCTGGAGTATGGTTTAGAATTTGGAATTTTGTCATCCAAGTGAGAATTTTAAGTGAATTGTGTTTCTTTTGTTTCCAAAACTTACATTCTACACCTGATCATTTTCGTTGTGTTGGAGTGCCTCTAATGCTAATGGAGCTGATCGCAGTTATATTTATTTGTGCCTCTGCACCATATTATGTTTATTAGTGAAAGGCGTGTCCTTTCAAATGCAAGTGGGTAGGAAAATGAGGATATGATTGTTAAGTATGTAATATGTTCGTTACATTTGATAAGGTTGCTGCTGGAGTATGGTTTAGAATTTTGAACTTCTTTTGGTATGTTGGTGCTTGCAAATTGCCTTAAATTGTTCCAGTATTAAAGAAAGTTGAGAGCTGCCATTTATGCTTGTTCTTGAACGTAGCTATTCAGTCTATACATCTTCAGTATATTTTTATGATGATACTATTCAGTTGACATTGAAATGTCCGGCAGGCTCTTTCATTCTGGGGGAGTTTTCAAATAGATGGTTCAATCCATTTCAAAAAAACTGTGGCCTCAACTGAAATTTTCTTTTATATATAGTTCTGCATCAACACTCTCTCTCTCTCTCTCTCTCTCTCTCTCTCTCTCTCTCTCACATTGAAATCAATGATCATATTCTTTATGGTAGTAATTTCTATGGGTTCCATGTATCACCACCAAGATTGCTAATTTTGTATCTGTTTGCAGCATGTAGTTCACAGCATGAAGGACCCAAGCATTGCTGCATTTTGGTTGATAACCTTCCCCCAGATAGTTGGAGGTGTTGATTATGATGATGAAGTGAAGCAGAAAATTTGGTGGCAGTACAAGGTTCAGTCTCCTTACAAAATGATATAAACTATTTCTTTTCCTACTCCTGCTTTTATCAAATGAAGTGTTCAATTGACAATCCTTAATTAGAAACTTAAGTTCTGTGTTTGGCTGCAAATAAAATAGCAGAAGTCATAAGTGTATCCATGTAAGATTACTTTATTCTGTGCATGACCTACTGTAAATATAAAATGGCGTGGAAATTAGATTCCATGAGAAACAGTGAAAAACAATATGTTTGCCATTCTCTCTTAATTCATCTTTTAATCCTTATAATGTGGGAATGTAGTTTAAGGAGCATTTAGTGGTAGATATCTCTTTCTTCTCCAGGGAACCAAGTCTTGACTCCATTTAGGAACACTATGGCCCTGTGGGGAAAATTAGCAGATATTTGTTGTCTTATCCTATGTATATCTTTATCATGATTCATATAGGCACAACTTACTATGCTTCCTTCTCCATGATAATAAGATAGTATTGCTTTTGCCTTGAAAAAAAACCATAAACTGTTGACATCCTTCATATTTAGCTTAATGTTGTTTTGGAATATTTTCAAGAAATCTTATTATATGACCGCTTTCGGCATTTGGGAGCCCTTTTTATATAAACAATTAACTTTTCCCTCTCTTAGTGTGTAATCTTAAATCCATCTTTATACATGATATTGTGATTTTATATTTTCTTTGCTTAGGAAAATATGCGATATGACCAACTACGTGATGAAGTTGCCCAGCGGAAGCCTGGGTGGGAGTATCTGCAACAGGTTGGATGGATTTTCTACAGGCAGACTGTTACTATTGTGATATTTTTCTTTTCTCTGTGGAAAATAACTCTCGGCTTTTGCAGAACACTTTATAATTATAGTTTCTCTCCATTCTCATTTTCATCAACATAGGTCTTCCTCTTCTTTGTTGTTGGCCAATCACATGGCCAATTTTAAATGGAACAGAATTTTCCAACTTCTGATATTGGATCACCTTTCTATTTACTTTGACAACTTTAATTTAGAGAGTGTCATGAAAACTGGTAATTGGGCTCTTCAGTTCTAGAGGACATAGTTCACTTGATCATTTGATGCTACTTTCCCTTGAGACTATTGAGTTCAGAGAAGTATGAACTTGGAGATGCTAGACTTTGATTTTCTATATTACCCGCATTTCATCTGAATTCTTAAAAATCGTAAGAGAAATGTTAAAGAAAAGTGAAGAACAGCCTGGTGTATGGTGTCGTAATTCCAAGTCCTTTACTATATTCGGTATATATCGACATCAATTTTCAACAGCAACTTTTTAAATTTGACAGGCTCTAATCTCCATTGATCCCGACCGTGCGCGGGATGATCCTGTCATTGTGAAAAACATTCCGTTTTACAGGGCCAAGAAAACTTTGGAGGCTGAAGTAATGAAGCTTAATCCTCCTCCAAGGCCTCGAAATTGGGGGGTACGGTTTCTTTCCTGGAATTATTTTCAGCATGTAGGTCCATTTATTAATGCGTGGACTTGCCCTGAGAATCAGAATTAATTCTTTCCGATTGTGCAGTTGTTTTGTAACACCTGTTTATTGCAATTGCTTATATTGGGTCACGTTGAACTCTTTGATTATTAAATCATTGAACACACGTAATGATTTCACATAATTTTATTGTATGAAAAAAATTATCAACTACTGCCATTTATTTTTTCTCTTGGTATGTAGGATTCTTCTTTCTTTTTTCCAAGTTTCTGTAACTTAAGCATTTTACAGGATTTGGATCTTCCAATTGATGAATCTTCTTGGAACGAGGAAGACCTTAAAGATCCAAAGAAGCTACATGAGATGACAATTCTTCTTAATGCCCAAAGAGAAATTGCTGACAAAATTTTGGACGCACAGTGGGAAACAAAATGGCGCGAAGAGAAGGTCAGTTTTGTCGCAAGGGTTTTGTGAGTATTCTCAACATATGGATATTTCTTGAGAATATACATTATGATTCATATTGCCGAAATAATGACCTGTCTGCATTTATTCATGCCAAACAGTAATTCTGTTTTCTTGATCTTTATGGTTTTTGGGATTTCCTATGATGCCAACATATGTTTATTTAAAATAAATTAATGTTGTAGGAGTGTCGGCGAACTCTTAGCAAAATAATTTTATTTCCACCTAGAAACAGGGAAGCAGTTTCTTTCAGAAGTTTCAAGACATTGCCTATATAACTAAAACTTAATAATAACATTTCTTCTCTACTGTCGGTGATGTTTGTAACTTGTGCCCGGTTTGCCTCTCTTATTGTATATCTTATTTCAAGTATATGATAATATTTTGATGCGTTACTTGGATTTCTCAGTTAAACGAGATGCTGAAAGAGACAGTTGAGCCCTACTTGCAAAACATCAACAATGTCCTGCCTCAGCCTATCGTATTGCCATCCCAGAATAATCGCGACCATAAGGTTCGTCTTGCCTTTTGTTAATCGCAATTATCTTCTTTCATTTCTCATAATGTATTCAAGCTAAGTTGAGTAGGGTATGATATTTCTTGCTTTCAGTAATCATGCATCTAAATATTGTTAATGCACTATGGAAAAATGCTTTACCCTTCTTTTTCTTAATTATCTACTGCAGAAAAATGAGCGCAGCTGGCGATGGTGGCCGTTCTAGTTGGACATTGTCAACAAAACAGTGTACAATTTCCTTTGCATAATCTGCCTGAATCTTAAGCACTTTCTAGATCCTTCTAGTAGGGTCGCCGATTTTCTTCCATATGCCCAGTTTTTGTTTGAGGGTTTTTTTGTATGCTTCTGTTGTGCTCAAGAACTTTCAATACATTGATGCCATATAATATTTGTTTTAGGCAACAGCTACATTATATGTTCGTGGCTCACAGTACAGCAAAAAAAGAGAGAAATAACAGCAATTACCCAAAAAAGTGAGAGAAAGCAAATTCTATATAAGTAATCCAAACTACTCCCTAATTGCCCAACAGGAATGCCTGTGGCACGTATCGATCACTAACAATATAAAATGTTTTTCTTCTTCCTTTTCGAGATGAATGATAATTATCGAACCATAATAATTGCTAAAATACTTTAAATAAAATCAAGGATCTCAAATGAATCAATGTCTTTCCTCTAATGGTTGGTTCTAGCACACTGGGTGGCCCTCGTGCAGCCTCGGGTGTACGGATTAGCTTTCTGGTGGCTGTTGCAATTGTAATACGACTGGCCACGACGATTGCACGGCACATTGTTCCTGCCCATGGCTGCGTAGCTAATGTGCCCGCCTTGCTTGCCCGCCAGGTGGCGCCGAGCGGATGCAGATTCCATCATGAGCTCTTGGCTCAGCTGGTCCATGGTGTCGGCCATCAGGCCGTGGCCATCGTCCGAGCCAAGTCCGAAGTAAATTGTGTGTTCCGTTGGCTGAGCGACCATGGCCGTGAGGGCCAGAGTCGCCAGTAGGAGGAGAACAGGTCCCGCTAATCGTGATACCGCCATTTGAAGCTTGAAAGGGTCTTCTTCTATAAGGAAGATTAGATTGGCTGGAATAATATATGCTTGTTAAAAGTTCCAGCTAGTGTGTTTGTGTGTGTGTGTTTGGTTTTTTTTTTTTTTTTTTTTTTTTTTTTTTTTTTTTTTTTTTT